GATGAAATTCAATGAAAATGCAGTATCATTATTTATGTTCTTATTTAATATATAATAAATATAACAGTATAATAGAATGCATTCTTAAATACAACTTTGTGTGTAATTTTATGTTTTGTTTTTCATCTCTTCTCTTCAAGAATAAGCAATCAGTCTCCCTTCTTATATTCTGAGAAACCAGAGCAAGATTTGAATGAGCAAAGATGGAGAAGGAATAATCCTGACAGAGAAGATGAAAAGCACATAAACAGAAAAGCACAATCCAGGCACTGAAAATGGCACGTAATTTAATTAGGATGAAGCAGAGGCCATTCACAAGGAAGCAGAAGACACTAGGCCGGAATAAAATTTAACTTCTCCACCTAACACTCAAAATGACTCAGAATCAGGGCCGGCCTCATGGACATGTGACCAGCGCAGTTGTGGGGGGTTAGGGGGAGGAGAGCAGGGTAGGGTCCCCCTGCTTAAGGTTTAATGCTGCGCATGTGAAAGTCTTAATAATTTTATGTTTGAATTTGTGCTTCATAAGTCAAGTCCATTGAGACAACGGCATATGAGCCCAGAGCTTAGAGCCTTAGTTCACACTCAGTCTCCCCTTCTACTGTCTGACCAGGGCTGGTTCCTGACCACTTGTCCCTGCTCCATGGTGTCCCAGGTCTCACTCAGCCTCCCCACCCACCACCCCTTCCCTGAGATCAGGAGCCACAAGGACGTTACATCAGTTTGGGGAGAGGCCCACATCCGACATCTGCTGCTGCACTCTGCTCGAGGCTGGCTTTGGGTGGGTGCGTGGAGAGGACCAGGTACGTGCCGCACACCATCACAGGGAGGCGCAAGTCTCTGGTCACCCACCCAGAGCTGGTAGCCATACACAGCACATTGGTGGGCACCTCTCGCCCATCCAGGTACCAAGAAAGTCTCAGGATGGAACTTGAAATTACTTGGGGGTTGCACATCTGCTGTGGGTTGGGGTAGCAGACCCTTGGAAAGGGAAGCCTGATGTCTCCACCTCCACCTCCTCCAGCTGGGCTCCTGTTTCATTCTGCACTGAGCTCCACAAATTATGTAACTGGGTTTATTTAGAATCTTTACTTACCCAGCTTCTCTTCCTGTTTTTCATAATGACATTACCTTCTCCGTCTCACTCAGGTTTAAAATCTCTGAGTCACCATTGACTTCCCTCCTTTCTAGCCCAAATCCACACCTGCAAGACATCTTCCATTTGCTCCCTGATGCCCATTCCCACTGTTCATGTTTAGTTCAATTGCTCATCATGCTCCCCCAGCCCATCATAATATACTCCTAATTATTTTCACAGCTTTGAGCCTCCCCCTGTTTAGTCCACTCAGCCACTGCCACAAAGCTTTCTGAAACACCACTCTGATGATGTTAACAGCATTTAAGGGTTCCCTGGGGCCTACTGTTAGGGACCTTCAAATTCTTTAGTCAAGCATTCAAGGTCCTTTCTTCTTTTGCCCTCACCTTACTCTTGCATATTCATTCTGTAGCATCCTCAATACTCTGGCTATTAAACCAGTCACTGTCACCTATACATGTTTTGGGCTTGCTTATTATCATAGCTCTGCTGAAGCCATTTTGCTACACCTGGATCACCTCCCCTGGCCCCACAGTATCTCCAACAATGATAAAATCATTGGTCATTCATCAATCAATGATGAAATCCAAAAAGGTGAAACCTAATCCTTTTGCCAGCTTGAATGGCACCTTCCCTATGAAGTCTTTTCTTGTGAGCCCAGTCACAGTGTGACTGCATTCTCCGCTGAGACCCATGCCATTTAGTTGGTGTCATTGAGTGGAGCTTGGTATTAGTTGTCTGTGTATAGAACGTGTCCCTCGACTATAAGCACTTGGAGGATAAGAAGCATGTCCCCCTCATCTTATACCCACAGGCCCTCTAAGACCTTAGGTATAATGGGTGTTTGGTGTGTGTTTGTTGGAACTAATGAATAAATGAATCTTGTGTAAACAGCTCAGGTGTTCTGAGAGCTGGGCACACCTGGAACCGTCCTGCCTTGTCCCCTTTCCTCCTCTCAGTTCACCTAACAAAACATTCTGGCTGCTTTTCAGACCCAAAGCCCATCAAACACCTGTATCATCATTATCAGCACTAACAGAAATATCATCTCACACTTTTTATTAATGTTTAAAGTGCTACATTCTAAATGCTTAGAATAATCTCAGAGAACACCTGTTATTGAGTGCTCTTATTTTCTACCTCCTGAGGGCAATTCTTTCATTACTATATTAAAGAAAGGCTGTTTAATAACTTATAACTGTCAGGGGAAAAAAGGTAAATTGCAGTCACTATGATCCATACTGGATACATAAAGTAAAAAATTTTTTCTACTTGTGTTTATTTTTCTCCTAATTTCAAGTTTGTTTTTTTAAAACCAATCAAGGAAAACACTAAATAAACTGAAGATTATTTTGCTATCAAAACTTTCATTCAACTTTAGTATTTCATTAAATAGTCTACTTCTGACTCCAGAATGCCATGCTTATTATCATAATTACATAAGGTCTTCAATGCCTTTCTCATCCCTATTCTGAACCCCCAAGAGGATCATCATTCTAATTATCAGATGATTAAATTTTGAAACTTGTTATGATAAAAATTTCAAATCTTGAAGAAAAAAAACCAGGAGACTGGTTGAATGTGAGTAAAAAACACCTGAAAAATATAGTAGTTAATAAAGAATCAGAGAGGATAGCTGTAAAGACTAGGTTTTTGGGAGGACTGGCAAAAGGCAGGTAAGAGAAAGCTGTTACGTAGGTTGAGAGTTTAAGATCTTGGTTCATTCCTTGTCTTCATCTAGGTCTGGTCAGGAAGGTTTTCTTTCACCATTGGCTTCTAATATATATTTCTATATTTTTAACCTGGTGTGTTCTTCATTTTACTTTTCTACCCTTCCTTGATAAAACTACTTTTTTACAAAGAAACTTCAAGATATGTATGTATATATATATATATATGTATGTGTATACATATATATATGATCAGAATTACAACAGTATGATCAAATGATAAAAGAATATGTATTTGGAAGGTTTTCAATTTTCATTAGTATAAATCTATAATATAGGAAATGCAAAGAATGAGAGAAAATGCTAGAACTTGCAGAGGAGGCAACATGGGTACAACTCAATGAAAACCTTACATTGCATGAGTTACTAAGAGGAACAAAGTAGGGAACTTAGGATAAGATATGGTCAAGTACTATCAATCACACTTAGAGGAGTCTTAAGGAGAGGGTAAGGGTGGTTATTACTATATTCCTTGATCGTGAAACTAGTTATAAAATACTTTATTTAAGAGTAGAACATGGCTCAGGGAAAGAGTAGGCTGGTCAGAATGTGCTGAGTTCACATCTCCATCCCTGATAAAGAGAAAAACAATTAAAAATGAAATGAGAAAAAAGAATTCCAGCAAATAAGTATCATCCAACTAGGAAAAGATTTTTTTTTTTTTAGCCCAAGCACACAATAAGAATGTGGAAATAATGGGAAAGAAAAGAGTTTGTTATCATTCACTTTTGCCAGAATCTGTAACATACCAATTATCAAATGTTTTTATTTCTTCCCATGGCTTTTTAGGATTGTAGAGAAATGGACAGTGGTTAAAGATCAGTCATTTGATCAAGCATGATAAAGATCATGCTTGACCTAAACTTATCAAAGTTGTCAAGAAGGATATAATGAATAATGTGTCTGGTCAATAAGGAAAGATTACCAAAAATGGTATTTTGACAGGCATCCTGTTAATAAAATGTTATACTGAAAGACTTCTCACAAAAGCATGAAACCTGGTTTTAGTACAAGCTACTCAACTTCTGTTTAGAATTGTCAACTTTCAGATGAAATAGGGAACATTTTGCCTTTAGTGTCCTTCCCACCACTCTTGCTATTCTGATCAACAGTAACCAAAATATAGAGCAACAGGTAGTTCTATTACATAACTGGAAGAAGCACTCATCAAATGACCAGAACTTTTCAATGACCAAGGAAAAGAACTTTCCATTCTTATGAACTCTGAAGAAGTCTACAGAAAATGACATCCGGTTTCATCACACTCAGTGAAAAGACACTGAAGAAATTAGAACAGACAGGCTTTCGGTTCTGGCATCTAATACAAGTTCAAATCACTGTGAAAGGAAAAGGCTTAGAAATACTAGACAACAGCATGTTGGGTTTCCTTTTCCACTTGAAGCTAGCATAGTTACCCTGCTGATTGCCTTTGGAGTTGCTAGAAAAATTATCAATTTTTTGTTTGTTGCACAAACCAAAAACCTACTTGCTCAGTTCTATCAAGAGCTGACTACAGACAGAGGTGTATTCAAGCCTAAAGATAAATAGGTTTATTTACTTGTCTAACCTCTCTAAACTCAACAACAGAAACAATTAAAATAGATGATTACAAGGCACAAGTGGATCAAGGCCCATTCTTCCCCTCATTTTCCTCTCTTCCTCTCCTTCCCTACCTTGGAACTCATGCAACTTTCAAGTCAGAAAAGGGGATATGGAAGTAGACACCCTGCTCCCTTTCCAACTTTGAATGAGAATGAAATGCAGTACACTCCCAAAAAGACATCAGAAACACCAACATGTCCATTTTCTTCAGACTAACAGTGAAATTATGGAGTAGACATTTTTTTCTAGCACTTCACAAATGCATTCTAAAACCATACACTGTTGATCTTAAAGACAAGGTGTCCTGACAGAGGAACACATCGTATTATTGGCTGCAAAATGTAGCCCTAGTGAGATGTGAATTGTCCACAAGCCACTGTGTGTTAGGGAAAAAAACTTACATTACAGATTGTGTAGTAACATTCTAGCTAGTCTAAACTCTGAAGAAATTCAAACAGCAAGATTAATACTGTAAAGAGTCTAAATTAATGTGTACCTGGATGCCAAAGGGAACTGACGGCTTGGCTCCCAAGCCAATGGGGCTCTGGAAAGAGGACAATGCAAAGTCCTACCTGGTAGGCATCAGGAATGTTGACAGTTTCTCCATGCTCCCCAACATAGCCAATGATGCCTTTGCCCCAGGGGACCTGCACCTCGTTTGAGTTCTCTGTGGTGCTACAGGGCAGCAGTGGGGTTCCTGCATGTACATCAAAGAATTTGGAGACCAAGCTCTTCTTGCCAGCAGCTGCCCCTTCCACCAGGAAGAGAGAGCAGCGGTCAGCATCCACCATGAGGCAGACAAAGATGAGGATCTTGTAGCTCAAGCTGGTAAGGTCAAGGTCATTGGAGATATCCTTGACCAGTTCCAGGAAGAACTGACGCTCATTATGCTTTTTGAGGTGGCATTTGTAGTCCATGGCCGTAGGGGGGTACTGAGGCAGGTTCACCCTCGATTCCAGCAGGGCACTGAGAATGTGGGCTGTGGTAGGGGGCAGGGAGCTGGCCTTCCGGAGAAGTGCCCTCCGACGAACACTGCTTAGGGGCTCCTGGGCCCGAGAGGTCACCTGCTCATCATAGGTCCTGTTCACATGGATGGCCTTGGAGCGAGCAAAACTCTTCCTCAACTCCTTCTGAGAAGCTCTCCGCTGCAGGCTCCCATCGCCCCGGCTGTCACTGGCCCAGCTGGGACTCAGCGGAACCCCACCACAGTCCCCGCCACGTGGAGCGGGCTGGCCGATGGCAGAGTCTTCTGGTCCAGTGCCGCGGCCAATGCCGCTGCTGCCTCTGTGAGCCGAGTCACTGGAGACAACCAGGGCGGACCTGGGGCCCACAGCCTCCTGCCCCTGACTGTGCCTCTGCAGCCACTTCTCCACCATCTCCTGCTTTCCCTTCCGCAGTAAGTAATCTTCAAACAACTCTGGGTGCCTGTCCAGGAAAGTTTCCACCTCCCCGAAGTCCAGGCGGGAGGCTGTCATGGTTCCAGACACAGCTTTCGTTGCCGCTCAACACTTGGACCAGATGTTTAAGTGCCCCGGCCCTCTAGCCGGTCCTGCACATGTCTACTCCCACCAGCGCTCCCAGCCCGCGGAGATTCTGCGGAGCAGGAGACTCCCAGCTGGGAGGGGCCCCTTCCTCAGGGCTCAGGGCGGGGCTGGCAGGAACCCCACCCCCTCCTCCTGCTACCGCGGCTCCGCACAGGTGCCCCCGCTCGGCTCCTGCGGCAGCCACAGCCCGTGTTCCTGTTCTGGCAACCCGGGAGCTAGTGCGGCTCTTGCTCCGGCTGCCGCCGCCGCCGCCGTGACCGGCTGAGCGGACCGCTGTGAACGGGAGAAGGGCCGGACACGCCCCTGGCTGAGGCGCGGAGCCCGGAGGGAGGAGAGGGCTGACAGGAGGGAGGCTCGGGCGCCAGACCGGGCCAAGTCCGCGGGCCAGGACGCAAGGCAGTTCCTGGAAGGGTCTCTGGACAGCCCGACTGGAACACGATTAGAGAGGGAAATGCACCTCGTTCCGTTCCCCACCCCACCCCCGTCCTCTGCCCCCCATCTCTCAGTCTCCCAGCGTTCTGAGGAGGCTCCGCGGGAGCCCAGCGGGAGCCCAGTCTCAGGAAGTGTTGATGTTTTGCAGGATCAGACCAAGCCGCTGACTCCGAGGAAGTGAGGATGCTCAGAGACAGGCACGGTTATTTTTCTGGGATGTGACTGTAGATTGCTGGTTCCTAGGATACCTGGTTCTGCCAACTAACACACCCAGTGACTTGTGGGCATTCAGTAAATATTAATGGAACTGGATTTACCAGAAATTAGCAAACTAAATTCTCCATCTGAGCAATTTATGACTTTAACAAAATTCTTGGACCTGGGGGAGGGTGGGGCACATGGGGGCTCAGGGGGTGTAAAACACATAGATTCGGGAGACAATGCTTGGCAGGGGCATAGCAAGGTGGATTTGAGGGCCTCAGGGGGCTTCCTTCCAAGCCGGTCGTGCACACTGTGTGGTTTATCCTCATGAACATATTATCATCGCTTCCTTCTTTCTCTACTCAGTCTGGCACAGCCACGGATGCTGCCTCTACTCTTACTATCCTAGGACTTGTCGGCAAGGATTTCTCCTCTGTGGGAAGCTTTTTTTTTCTCCTAACCTAGGTATGATGCAAATCTGGCTTCTCTCAGCTAATTAGGCTGAGAGTAACATTTCCCTTGGGGCTTTTCCAAACCTAGTGGTTAAATGTAGGAGATTTGGCAGGAAAGAAGAGCAGGCTGATAGTACTTTCTTAAAGCCCCAAGGGTCTCCTGTTTTGTGAGAAACAAAAGCACACAGAGAACCATCCAGTTCCTTGGGATAGCAGGTAACTCTAGACTTGCCTCTACAGAATGCCAGTGACAAGGATGACAGAAAAGAGCTGCACAAGAAGTCAGTAAGGACTTTTACGTGGTTTCCTTGTGGCAGGCACACAAGTGATTTACACAGTAAGTAAAGCTTACTCCAGGAGATGTCCTCATTCTAAGTGGATAAGGTGTACTGAGCACTTAACATGTGTTGATCACTTTAAATCAATATATTAATCCTCACAATAGAATTTATGAGGTGGAGGACCCTCACTACCCCGTTTTAAAGATGGAGAAACTCTGACTAAGGTGAGTAAGTTACCCAAGGTGCAGTCAGTCAGTGCCAGAGCTGGGATGTGGACCCATTTGATGTGACCCCAGAGTGAGGCACTCTTAGCCACCTGACTAGACAGTCTGTCTGCTGTGTCAGTTGAGGCCTGTTACAGATGCAGGGCCTGGGGCACAATGCCTGCTAAACAGGCCTCTGAGTGCACCTGGAGGAACAGAGAAGGGGGAGAGCACTGCTTGAAGACTCCTAACTTTCCAGCTTAGTAGCAGGACTGAGGGCATGGCCTTGGCACTAGCATTGCAACTGTGAACAAAACAAAAACTGTGTGCCTTCCTGGGGCTTACATTATAGTAGGCAGACAGGCAATGCACAAATGAGAAGACAGGTAGAATAACGGAATGTCAGTTTCAAAGAAAAACGAAACTTGGCAAAGGGTTAGATAAAGCGATGAGGTAGTGGGAAGACCTTTATGAGGAGCAAGCACTGAGCAGTGGCGCTCTGGTGGAAATGAGGGAATGAGCCATATTGGTATCTGTGGGGAAAGAATGTACCTGGTAGAGGAAACAAGTGCTGAAGTTGTGAGATGTGATGTAATTGGAATATTTAAGGAACAGCAAGGAGACCAATTAGGAGACAGTGAACCAAGCATAGAATATTGGTAGTACAGGGATTCAGGCTGCTTAAGGAAGTGAGTGGTGATCAACAATTAAGAAAAAATTGCTTAGGACACTACCTGGCACATAGAGTATTCAATAAATGCTTGTTATTGTATTACTTTTATTATCATAATTTCACCAAAGTAAGTGCATGGAAGCCTCACTACATGTGGCCACATCTTGAACTTGAGTGATCCATTAGTAAAGATGGTCAGTGGCATGCTGGAACAGGTGTGTAGGGGCTCACAAGAGCTATTTTAGCATCTCTTTCTAACTCCATGTTCAATGACATATAACTTGAAATCAGCCATGCTGGGAGTATTTATACCATGGAAATCAACAAATACACAAATAAGGATTTTTTTTTTCCACATTGCTAGTTGTTAAACATTTCCCACCATTCAATGAAAACAATTCAATTATCTGTCAACTGATGAATGGATAAATAGAATGTGCTATGTCCATAAAATGGAATATTTTTGGTCATAATAGAAAGAAAATATGCATATACTGACACACACTACAACTTGCATGAACCTTGAAAACATTATGCAAAGTTAAAGAAGCTACTCACAAAAGATCACATATTGTTTGATTTCATTTACGTGAAAATGCCCAAATAGGCAAATCCAAAGAAACAGAAAGTACGTTAGTGGGTTGCCCAGAGATAGGGGGAGGGAAGCTAGAGAGGAACAGGTGTCTGCTAACCGACAGAGGGTTTCTTTGGGGATAAAGAAAATAATGTTCTATAATTGATTGTGGAGATGGTTACACAATTCTGTTCATGTATCAAAATCCATTGAATTGTACCCTTTAAGTGGGTGAACTGTATGGTATGTGAATTATTTCTCAAAAAAGCTGTTGCTGTTATAGAACAACAACAACAAAAGCCATTTACCAACACACAACTGGCCACAACACAGCAGCCGCGTTGTGCAAGGAGATGAGAAAAGCACTGAGCATCCTCACAAAAGGGAGAGAAGCAGACCAGCTTTCAGCTGCCTGGAAACAGAAGGTTTAATAAATAAACATTTTCTTAATTCCATCTTCCGTATGTTCATTATATAAGTGGTTGTTTAGCATTTATCATATTCTAGACTCTGGGGACAAAAGAAGACCAGGACAAAAACCTCTGCCTTTGAGGATCTCACAGTCCACAGCACCTAGACTAGCAGAAGTAAAGAGGAACACTGGGGAGGGTGGGAAGTGAATTGTGCATTCCTGGCGTGGTTTTGAATTGACTGTAGTCTTGTTCCCTGCTTGGCTCATGAGGTCACCAAAGCAATCAGTGGTTAGGGAAGAAGTGAGGTGGTGATAGAGCAGTAAGGTAGTCCACAAGGCTGTGATGGAGGGCTACACAATAAGGTGAGTGTTGATGTGGCCCCAATTGCCATTTTCTCTTCCTTCTCCATTTATGGTAGAATGGTACACTCAAAGTAATTCCAAGAGGGTTAATTTACAAAGGGACTACTTACAAAGGTGGAGTATAAGTAAACCACTAGGACAGTGAAGGAACCTGGGACTCACAGCAGCGGCAAAGTCACCATCCTGAGACTTGATGGGAGGAGGGGGAAAAACACCAGGATCTGAAAGAACAGAGGCTTGTGTAATCACAACTGCCTTGAGAGGAGGAATGAGAGCCTACCAAAGTACATCGACAGAGCAAGTTGACCTCAAAGGAGGGATATCAGGAATAAATAACTTAAACTCACTCTCCTCCTTCCCTCCTATCATGAGTAGACCCAACTAGAAGCTAGACAGTGCTGGAGCTTACTGATGGAATCCAAATAGGTTGCCCTCCTTGGTGGTGGTGGTGGTGTGTGTGTGTGTGTGTGTGTGTGTGTATGTGTGTGTGTGTGTTGGGGGCTGGGAAGTTGGGGAATAACATGTAAGATGACTTTTGGTATTTCAAAGGAGCCAATGACATTTTAGTACTAGATGAAAACTTACAGATCATCTAATACTCCACTTTCATTTTGCACATGTGGAAATTGAGATGTAGAGCAGACACATAATTCGTCCAAAGTCAACCTGCCAAGCACAACTTCTGATTTGCTATGGCAGCATCCCACCCTTACCAACATCCCACAATTTGATATAAATCTCTTGAAACCCAATGAACTTGTCCTCTCAGCTTATCTCCTAATCAATCCACCTCCTAAAACAGACTTTCATTTTATGACCAGTAGGCATTATCAAATAGACTGATGCAATTTTCAAAATGAATCATGCTCTTCAAAAAATTTAAATGGGCATATTTCTATTTTTAGGAATATGGGTCCACATGATCAAACAAAGGATGGGTTATTCCAATTCCAAAATGATAAAAATCTCTAAACTGTAAATTTACAGGAATTTAGTATCAGAAGTCGATCACAGTCTATATCAAATCCAAAACCTGAGGTGTTCTATTAGGAGAGAGACGGAGAAATTGGAGTTATAAAGAGCTGGCTCCCGTGATTATGGAGGCTGAGAAGTCCCAAAGTCTGTTGTCTACAAGCTGGAAGTCCAGGAAAGCAGGTGGTGTAATTCAGTCCCAGACTGAAGGCCTGAGAACAGGTGGAGCAAATGATGTAAATCCCAGTCCAGAGGCAGGAGAAGATGAGATGTCCCAATTCTTTTCAGGCATTCAGTGGACTGGATGATGCCCAATCACACTGGGGAGGGTAATCTACTTTACTGAGTCCTCCAATTCAAATGCCAATCTCATCCAGAATAGCCTCCCAGACATACCGAGAAACAGTGTTTAATCTGGGCACCCCTTGGCCCCCTCAAGCTGGCACAGGAAATTAACTTTTGCACACAAAATTAAATTTTGTAAGCACCTTTATTCCAG